TGCAGATGAAGACTTACTAAGTCAGCAGTTCTCAACCTGTGGGTCGCGACTCCTTGGGGGGGGTGTCAAACGACCCTTTCACAGGGATCACCCAATTCATAACAGTTGCAAAATGACAGTTATGAAGTAGCAACGAAAATAATTTTATGGTTGGGGTCACCACAACATGAGGAACTGTATGAAAGGGTCGAGGCACGAGGAAGGTTGAGAACCACTGTACTAAGTGATGGCCACGGCAAAGGACTTCAGGTCCTTCAAGACAACTCCACACAACTGGAAGGGCACTGGAAAGATGGGTGGATAAGAAGAACAAAAGAAGGGAGGCAGGGAAAGGAGGAACTGGAAGAGAGGCAGCAAGAAAATGCTAAGAGGGAAAGCAACCACGACCCTCTTCTTCACCTAGCTCTCCTCCATCACACCTGGCAGGCATCACATTTAAACTCTGCTTTGCTTCACAGTGGCCAAATTTACAAAGTCAGGTTGGTATCACTCTAATTTAAAACTGCATTTAGCTGTGATGGTCAGGTTGCACTGACAGCAGGCTATTCTAGAGTGGATGACTGGGATGTTGCCCATGAAAAGGGTGCTGAGTTACTGAATTGGCCCACAAAGGCACGTTTTAACTTACAATGCAGCCAACTATAGAATTAATAATGCTAGCCATGTTCTGGAAGCATAGATCTATATGTGCAGAATGTCATTTACTTTTTTCCTTGTTTATAAAATAAGTTTCCTGTATTTCTGAACCTTATCAATATCACTAGGAGCCCTGGTGGAGTAGTGGGTAATGCGTTGGGCTCCCGACTACAAGGTCAGCAGCTCAAAACCACCAGCCACTCCTTGGGAGAGAGCTAAAGCTTTCTATTCCCATAAAAAGATGCATGGGCAGTTCTACCCTGTCCAACGGGATCACTATGAGTCAGAATTGACTGCATGGTAGCGAGTTTCGTTTTCTGGTTGTTTTGTACATCAGTACAACTGGTTCTCTGAATGGCAAAAGCAAAGTTGGGGTGGGCCCGGCCTCCGTATTTTTTCAGAGCTGTACAAGTGATCTGGATGTGCAGCCAAGCAAGGGGGACTCTGCTACTTGGTCCCGAAAAGAGCCACCTGTACGACAGAGCCTTCCTGGCCATAGTAGTGGGGAATCACAAGAGCCAGCTACATGGGCATGAGGCGTTACTAAGTTAGGGGTGTACTGTTTTAAGAAAGGAGTCCTGGTGGCAGCGGCTAAAGAGTTTGGCTGCTAACTGAAAAGTCGATTGCTTAAACCCACCAGCCACTCCGTGGCATAAAAATGAAGCTGCCCGCTTCCTTGAAAATGCTACAAGGCGGTTCTACCTCTGTCCTATAGTGTCACTATGTGTCAGAATCAACTAGAAAGCAAGGATTCTTTTTCCTTCTCGTTTTGTTTTAAGGTACCACTTCTAACCAAAATGGCAGACCCACTTTGGGCCAGTAGTTAATGCAGCAGTTGCTGCCAAGTGAATTCCTCTGCTTTACTGGAACTATGACCTTGGGCAAGCTTGTTTAACCTATCTGAGCATCGGGGTTCTCATTTGCAAGATGTGGTTATTAATAAACCACCTACATCATAGGTAATTGCAGATCATTAAAGTGCATATATAGCACTTGGAACAAAGCAAGGCACGCAGCAGTGAGCGAGTGTCCTTCCCACCTACTCTGCTAGGACGAAGGGTGGAAACCTCAAAACCCCCCAAACAGTTTATTTACTCACTGCAGATAAAAGAGGGAGTACACGCCAAGTCTGACAATGATCTTTTTATTGTTGTACTATGTTCTTGGATAGGGTTGTTCAAGTCTATGACCTTCTGCCAGCCAATCACTGGGCTGTCTTCTGAGCACTATGAATGGGTTCACACCTGGAACCTTTCAGTTCAAAGTCAAGCAACTAAGTGTGTGTGCCACCAAGGCCTTCATTCTGATATTAAGAGGACTGCCCCAAAACTAGCAAAAACAAACCGTACCCAGGGCTTTTCCTAAGTTAGGAACCCAGATTTCACTTTAAGCCCCTGGCTTAATTATAATTAACCATTAAATTCCTCTCTAAGCATACAGGTCTCTAAAGACATAGACAATGTTAGGAAAAGTCTTAACTTTCTATGGAGTACCTGTGCCCCTCAGAATGCCACTTCATTCAAAACCTCCTTTCTGACTGGGATCCCTGGGCAGGGTTCATACTCACACACCCTTCGTGCTACTCTGAGCAGTGTGTGCAGTTTGACTCATCTACAACTCACCCTGGTCCTGTGACATTCATTCCCATTTTAATGAGGAAGACACTGAGGGAGGTCAGTAATTTGCAAGAGGTCAGGAGAGGTCCAAACCAAGGCAGTCAGCTCATATCCAGTCTCCTGGCCATTCTGCACAGGAGTCATGGCCACTGGCACTCAACACAATGAATAGGACTGCGACCAGCATGAGCAGAAGATGAGGTTCAAGTGCCCAGTGTGTCTGCCAAACAGTGTCCCACTCATCCTGCTAACAACCCTAAAAAGCAAGAAGGAAATAAATAGTATCTATATTTCACACATGATAAAACTGAAGTAGCAGATATGAGGTGTTTTAAAAACTCCAAGATATTAAACCAAACAACCAATTCCATTGTTTTTACATTAAAATGGCATCATTTGGGATCTTCCTATTTGAGTGTTTAAGTCTGTGTGACTACCTTAAAAGACACCGTCAATAAATAATTAAGACACCGAGGCCACAGTCAGAGGCCTTGCTAGCTGGTCAAAAGCCACCATTCTCTCAGACTAGGGGTTTCATGTTAAATCACTCTTCTAACTTACTAGAATTCCCCAATACTAACCAAATCAACAGTGCTTACTGAAAATAATAAATGCATCCATATACTAGCTCTCTTATCTTAAAATGTATTCAGCAGAAAATTCTAAAGAAAATCTAATTGATCTAATTGCAAATTGAAACATTACAATAAGTACATTTCTCTTCTGCACCTAGTAAGAAAATCTCTTCGGTTCCTACTGTGCTTATGAATAAGAGATCTATCTCAAGAGTGCAGGAGCACCCACAGGGAACTCAGACTGAGGTCCTGATTCTGTCCATGGAGACCCAGTAACTCTCCTGAAGAGCCAGTTGGGCACTGGGACTGCTGAGCAGAGGAATGGGGCAGACAGTCACAGGCCTTCAGCCTTGTATTCTATGGTCAATAAACGCTAAGTTACATTGAAGAGAGATGGCATTAAACTTCATTCACTCACTACCACTCAGTCAATTCTTACTCCCAGACTCATAGAGGCCCTACAAGACAGAGTAGAACTGCTTCTGTGGGTTCCGAGGCTCTGAATATTCGTGGGACACCTCGTCTTTCTCCCAAACAGAATGGCTGGTGGGTTTGAACTGCCGACCTTGTGATTAGCAGCACAACGCATAAGGCACTACACCAGCGGTTCTTAACCTGTGGGTTACGACCCCTTTGGGGGTCAAACCACCCTTTCACACAGGGGTCGCCTAAGACCATATTTCCAATGGTCTTAGGAACCGAGACACGGCTCCTCTATCCATTTCCAGGCGGTCCATCCACATGCAGATATGCCCACTTACGGGGTCACCACGACATGAGAAACTAACTGTATTAAGGGGTCGCGGCATGAGCACCACTGCACTACACCACCAGAGCTCACTCATGGCACCAAAGGAACAAATGAAAGGCTTTTCAGTGGGGGGTGGGGGGAGTGGAGTTGTGAGGAATATAGAAAATACTCCTGTACAACTCTGAAAAGCACTGTAACACAAAAACACCTTTAAAATTCAAGGTTTCGTAAATAAGCTGCTCCCAACTATTGGGACATTTATTCTGTGTACAACCTAGTTTTATACTCATATACGGTTTTGCCTAGCCGAGTTTCTCAGTTAGGATGTTTTGAGATTAAGTGAAAAGAGGAGACACCCAACAGGCCAAAGGCAGCTGCAAATACACCAGGCAAGCACAGGCCAGTGAGCCGGAAGTTCACATGAGTACAAATTTCCAATGAGCAGCTCACTTACAACTAATTTTAATTTGTGGTTCTAATGAATGATATAAACTTTTATAGGTACCAACAAAGCTCAGAGAGGACTTAAACCCATTTCCGTGCTCATTTAGCAGCTTCAGCTGTGTGCAATTAAAACATCAGCATTAAATGTTAGAGAAAAAATAATGAGACACTTAAAAAATAATCTGTGCTTCACTGGGCCGTGCTACGAGATATCACGTGACTTTTTTCTTTTTAAAGTATATGATTTCTTTTTTTTTTTTTTTTTTTAGTATATGATTTCTTAGGAGTGTCTTGCCAGTTCAAAGGATTAATTCGACTTTGCTCTTTGTCTTTTTATTTTGGTTTGTTTTGCTTTTGCCTAAGAATGTACTGAAACAATGCCGACAATAAAAAATGCACTGTGAAAAGCAGTCATGAAATAGCATATGGCCTAAATCCATCTAGCGCATAGACCAGCAGAGTAGACTAACCAGATTTCAGCAGAGGCAAAACTATACTGTTGGCCCTGCTAAAAATTCTTGCTTGTTCTTAACTCCGCCCTCCAATAAAGAAATTCAAATTAAAGGGAAGATGAATTTTGGAAATGAGGTAAGTTTGGTATCATCTAGCCCTTAAAAGGGTTTGAGCTTTTCTCCCAATAATTACTTGAGAATATAAAATGTAATCTGAAGTTGTAGAATGTGGCAGCTAAAACTTACAGATTCAAGTTGCTATTGTTTCTGAAAGAAACACAAGTTAATCTCAAGAGAAATCAGTGTGCAGTGATGGTGAGAGGTCTGTGCAGGAAGGAGGCTGGCAGTGGCATAGGGAAGGAAAAGGAAGGGGTGTGTGAGAGTCATGGGAGGTAGGAGTGTTGTGTGTGTGTGTGTGTGTGTGTGTGTGTGCATACACAACAAGCCAATTTAGCTCTTGCAAAACATGAATAGCAAAGGAAATATACTGTATGGGGAAATGCACTCATTAAACTTAAATTTTAAAAAGATGAAAACACAAATTACACTTTATTTTTAAAACTGGAATGAATTTTAATACAGAAAATGAAGACAGCATTTTGCAAATTTATCACTCAAAGGGACCTCTATGTGAGGATATCAGCGTGTTACACTTTGAGAGATGAAATGTTACAGCTTGTACACCAAAATTAAAAAATGAAATTAAATTAAAAAATGAAATGGTTACCAAGGTAATGCAGGTCAGGGGATCAAAGGTGAAGGGTCACACATTATTAAAAAGAAATCCAAAAGGACGGCTGCATCATGATCTCTGCAAAACAAAGGAGCTCCAGTAAGTAAAACTATTATCTCGGAGAATGCAAAAGCAAGCTCTTCTTGAAAAGAAGAATCCACTGTCACTGAACACAGTTACTCCTGACTCCGGGTAGAGACATTGTCATTTAGGCCCCATACCAAATTTCAATTACCTGTTAGTCATGAAGTTTTGGTAAAAAAAATTTAACCATTCAATCACAGTAAACCCGAAAACATCTCAATTTAAAGTGACTGAGAAGTACTAACATGCCCACACCCTGTTGTCTGGAAAGGGCATGCGATGCTAAATTTGCCAACATACCAGAAATATAATTTGGTCACAGCATGGAGAGGTTGTTTTTTGTTTTGTTTTGTTTCGGTTTTGTTTTGTTTTGCCCTATTCTCAAGGAATGAGTTCTAAAAATGAGTTTTTGCAAATTTGTTTCATTTGAAGTAGCTGCATAAAATTTCCATTATTGGAACATTTAGTATAACAATGTTCTAGAAGACAGCAATAAAATGATACATGATAAAATAAACTATATCTATTAGGTCTGTTCTCACATTCAACTTTCACTACATAGGGGAAAAAAGACATTTTAAGCAAAATAATTTGTAGTTTTACTGAAATTCACAAAATTCAAATAAGTTTGACAGGGAATATCTACAAGTGGAGCAAAGTATCTAACCCGTTAGGCTTCATTCTTCCACCAACTGTATCATCCATCCCCCTGGCTCCCCCACACACAAACTACGGTGGTGGTGGTGGTGGTGGTGGTGGTGGTGGTGGTGGTGAGTGCCACTGAGTCTGCTCCGACTCCACGGGCAATAGGACAAAACGCAGAAGAGGCTCAGGTTGGGTTTGGAAATACGTACCTAACATTTAAACCACGACCCACTTCAATTTAACTTTGCTTCCCTAGCAAGCACAATGAATAGTTATTAAAAAATCATTTCTATACTCATGTCACTAGTAAACAAAGTGGATAATAATACAAGAATACCTAAGTGTTTTCCTCTGAAAACTTCAGCTGCTAGGTTCCTTAATTTTAGATTTCAGTTCCTTAGCAAAGTACTTAGTACCAGAAATTGGGCAACAGATTCTAAAAGGCACTGTAAATATGGCTCGCCAGATACAAAAGTAAATGCAAATATAACTAGGAAAAAAAGAACTCAGTACTATTCTTGATATAAAAATGGACACTTGCCATTTCTTCTCCCAGTCTCTAAGTTCAGTTTCATCCCATAATATCTAACATTGGCATTTACCTGGTTAAAATCAAATTCCAAATGTGCTTATATATTAAAAGGGAGACAAATGCCCAAAAGTATTTTATTTAAAGGAGAAAGATATCGTTCCTAGTGGCTTAGAGCAATCAATAAATAAACAAACTCTATACACACCAAACATATTTTTGTTCCCACTGATTAGGTTTTGTTAAAATAACTCCAAAGAGTTTCATGCATTGGATTCTAGTGTGTTAGTGCCTTAAGGCCACGTTTCTAAAGCATGATGATTTTTTTTTTTTAAAGCCCCATAGCTACTGAGAAGTAAACCAGCATTTCATTTCTCTGGAATGCTCATCTCACATTAAGTCTGTCACATATGTATTTGTGGCTGGGAGGCATGCAAGCAATTTTGAACACTACAGAAGGAATCAATACCCCATCAAAACAATGCATACGTTGTTTTAGTAGCATCATTATTTAGACCATTTCAGCATGTTTGTAACAAAAGACAAGAAGCCAGCTGTGTAACGTTAGTCAAATTTTCTTTGACTACGAGAAGAAAGAATAAGCCTATTCAGATTAAATGCCTACACATATCCCTTCAGTACCAGAAACACAACTAATTATATTAAATATCTTTTACTTCCTGACAGTGAGATGATAAAGTACTTAAAGATGCTTTTTTTAAAAATCTTCTAACTCATTTTTTAAATTCACCAACTCATAAAAAACATGTTGGCTCAAATTTTCTACTAGTTTAATCTCTGTCAAGTCACCAGGCTGCTCCAACAGAAAGGCAATCCGCATGTAGTACAGAGTTGCTCTTGGAGTACTTGAAGGTACACCCACTAAACAAATTCCCACCAATCGTGCCACAGAAATGAACACCGTCTAAGGAAGGAAACACCCAGAACTCTCTCCTACACCACGGCAACCCTGAAAGGTGGCTTTGTCCTAAAAAGCAATGTTCAGTAATTTGAAAAAAATCTGCGGAGGATTTTAGGAGTCCCTGGCCTGCCTGGCTGGTACAAATGGTTAAGCACTCAGATATATTCAGTGAAAGAGGTTGCTGGTTCAAGTCCACCCAGAGGTGCCTTGGACGGCCTGAAGGTCACAGCTATTGAAACCAATATGCTCAGTTAAACTCTGACACACATGGGGTCATCATGAGTCAAAAACAATTGAACAAACAACTGGATTGGGTTGTTTATGCAGAATTTTAACTAATGTTTTTCAAATTAGTTTAGGCTGAGGGTAGTAAAGGCTATTAGTTAACTGTGGTCCCATTTTTTATATTATTACTGGAATGTAATTTAACACCCAGAAAGAGGGCTATAAACACCAAGTGATAAAACACAGCTAGGCAATAATGAACTACGTCAGCTTTAAGAACCACCACCAAGAGAGCCCACTCCCAGAGCCTGTCTATCCAGACAAGCACATCTTTTCACAGAAACAATGTAGTAACAGCAGTTACAGCTGACAACCAACTTCCTACTTCACCAGAAACTGGTGACAGTCCTGCTCTGAATTCTTAGGGCCATGGAACAAACGTGAGCACCTGCTCTTTTCAAGGTGCTGGCACAGGTGGAAAGTCTGGATACAAACTTTCCATTCTGAACCTCATGCTTCCTCCCATCTGTCCCTTCTGGACCCCCAGGCAGGTGTACCCATCTTTCTTTCTCCCCACCAAAGTCTCCCTTCTCCATTAAGTTTCTGGTGACAACGGACAAAACAGCCTGCATTCACACGTGCTAGAGTCTGCGCAGCAGCCCTGGTGGCACAGTGGTTATGCATTGGGCTGCTAAGTGCAAGGTCAGCAGTGAAACCACCAGGCGTTTCATGGAAAAAGATGAGACTTTCTCCTCCTATACAGACCTACAGTGTGGGAACCCCACCAGGGCAACTCGACCCTGGTCAATGGGAACCGACGCATGGCACTGAGGTTTTTTGCTTCTGTATAAAGTGAGGGTTTCTTAAGGCAAGATAAATTCCTAGGTGGTACAAATTCCATTATCTTTATTATCAAAGAGTAGAAGCCTAGTCTACCTCAAGAGTGTGTCTTCTGTTTCTGTGATTTGTTATGTACTAGACAGCTAATTTCTTATTCCTATAGATCCCATGTGACAGAGTAGGCCACACTCTTGGGGAGATCAGATCATCAGATCATTCTCCTAGGGCCACTTGGTGGATTCAAACCACCAACCTTTCACTTAGCAGCTCAACACTGAATCCTTGAACTAGCAGACTAGTAGAGGAATTAAACAGGAAATGAACAATCCTACTAACCCCCAAAACTTTCTCGGTGTAGCTGAAGTATGCATGCTATTCCTAATCTAAAAGCTGAAATCTGTTAGTGTGCCCAATTTGTGAACTACATTACTAAACATTAGAAACACCTCAAGTGTCACTTTTACACCATCACACCACCAGCTCCAGAAAATACTTTTGCAGAGAAATGCTCATATTAAGCCCTCACTGTCCTATAAAAAGCACTTTATAGGAATGTGTTTTCCAACAAACTCAATTTGTACTCTATGTTAATAAAATTCTTTTTGCCAAGGACCGGCATTTATAAGCACAGAGAATTGGTTCACTTCTGAAATAAGCAGACAGAGAACATAATTTCTAATAAGGGCATATCATGACAGAAATCCTGCTATTTTCACCTCAGGCATACTATTTGAAAAGCAAAAAATATGGAAGAACTAGGCAGAAATGAGTAATAAAAAATAAAAACACTCAATACTTAGGGAGTCAGGGAAGCTAAAAGGAGACAATTGAAGGAATCAATTAAAATAGAGCACTATATACTTTAACAATTCCTTACAAACGTCTATGAACTCAGTATCTTAATGCTTTCAGTAGCAGAAACTAACCTTAGCAAACATATTCAAAGATTTTTAAAAATATATATCCAAGCAAAAGTTTATTACAGGGATGAGGGTAGCTTAATTTGTTATCTATAATGATAAATAAATCACCAAGATGACATCCAATAAAACAGACAATTCACCAGAATCAAATGCACTTGAGCTAAGTATACCCTTCAGTTAAGTGTGTAACACATTTCTATTACCCTTTGCGTTAGAATTTAGCTTTTTTTTTTTTTTTTCAGTGTGTTAGGAACACCATCTATTGAAAATCCAAAAAAATATTAAGTATTTGGTCTGTATGTTTGCCAGTCATTGGTGGGGATCCCTGCACCTTCCCTGCCTCCTCCCGCCGAGAGTGTCATCACATCTCCACCACCTTTTTCATCCTCCCCGAAAATATATTTTCAAGAATGGTCTGTGCTTAATTCTTTATCTATTTCTCACAATTTTCTACAAATAATACCACACAGTTATCATAAGATTTTCATTCTACTCCTCAAAATAAGACACTGAAAGCTGAAATTATAAGCTAAATACCTTTCTACCTAGCCCCGGTAGCACTTCTGGTTAAGTAAGGTCTGCAGTTCAAATCCACCAGCTGATTTTCAAGAGACAGTTGATGCTATCTGCTCCTGTAAAGACTCACAGCCTCAGAAACCCTAGAAAGGTCCCTATGAGTGATAATTAATTTGATGGCAGTGCTTTTTAAACCTAGTATTTTATATGAAACAATTTAACTTTTCCCTTAATTTCTTCAAAGATTTCACACACACATAAAAAAATTGTATGGCAGGAGGAATGAATGAGAAAGGAAAGAAAGAAACTTTAGTTGGTGAGTTTCACAGGTGTGCATTTGTACACTTATCAATTGTTAAGCATACATTTGCAATTCAAATATATGCAAATTTAT